TTCCTTCCTTATGTTGGTGGTTTCCCCCTATTATCCTTTGTAGGGCTGGATATGTGAAAAGATACTGTGTAAATTTGGTTTTGTCATGGATTTTTTTTTTTTCTGAGTAAGTAGCCTGGGCTAGCATTTGTGTTCTCTTAGGGTCTTTATGACGTCTGTCCAGGAGCTTCTGGCTTTCATAGTCTCTGGTGAAAAGTCTGGTGTAATTCTGATAGATCTGCCTTTATAAGTTACTTTACTTTTTTCCCTTACTGCTTTCAATATTCTTTCTTTGTTTTGTGCATTTGGTGTTTTAATTATTATGTGACAAGGGAATTTCTTTTCTAGTCTTGTCTATTTGGAGGTCTATAGGCTTTTTGTATGTTCATAAGCATCTCTTTCTTTAAGTTAGGCAAGTTTTCTTTTATAATTATGTTGAAGGTATTTACTGGCCCTTTAAGTTGGGAATCTTTTCTCTCTTTTATACCTATTATCCTTAGGATTGGTTTTCTCATTGTTTCCTGGATTTCCTGGATGTTTTGGGTTTGGAGGTTTTTTCATTTTGTATTTTCTTTTCTAGTCAAGTCAATATTTTCTATGATATCTTCTGCACCTGAGATTTTTTTCTTCTATCTCTTGTATTCTTTTGGTGATGCTTGCATCTATGACTCTGATCTTTTTCCTAGGTTTTCTATCTCCTAGGTAGTCTCTCTTTCTGATTTCTTTATTGATTTCTACTTTAATTTTTATATCCTCGATGGTGTTGTTCAATTCCTTCACCTTTTTTATTGTATTTTCTTGTAATTCTTTAAAGGATTTTTTTTTGTGTTTCCTCTTTAAGGGCCTCTACCTGTTTACATGTGTTCTCCTGTATTTCTTTGAAGGAGTTATTTATGTCCCTCTTAAAGTCTTCTATCATCAACATAAGAAGTGATTTTAAATCTGAATCTTCCTTTTTTGGTGTCATTGGGTATTTAGGACTTGGTATGGTAGGAGAACTAGGTTCTGATGATGCCAAGTAACCTTGGTTTCTGTTGCTTATGTTTTTGTGCTTACTTTTAGTTATCTGGTTATCTCTAGTGCTACCTGAAGTCACTGTTTCTGACTGGAGCCTGTCTGTCTTGTTATCTTGGTTGTGTCATAACTCCTCAGAGTCCAGATGTCTCTGTGATCCCGTGATCCTTAGATCCTGGGTGTGATAGCTCTTGGTTGTCAGGTTGCTTCTGGGCTCCTGAAATCCTGGCGTGCCTAAGCTCCTGAGATCCTGAGATCCTATTATCCTATGTTCCTATGTGTTAGAGCTCCTGGGAGTCCAGCCTCCTCTGGGTTTTGGGGGATTAGGTGCAGAGCTGAAGCCTTAGGGCTGCTACATGAGCAGACGCAGACCCGAAGGGTCCCGCGCCACTCGCCTTTGGGGAGTTCCTGGGACCCAGTGGGTCCTAAATTACTCCCTGTTTGGGAGGGAGGTTTTGGCTTACTCACCTATAGTCCTGGGCATGTTAGAACTCTTGGGAGTCCAGCCTCCTCTGGGTTTTGGGGGTTGGGTGCAGAGCTGAAGCCTTAGGGCTGTTCCAGTCACAAGTGCAGGAGATTTATTTTTAATTTATGTGTATCAGTGTTTTGGCTACATCAATGAAAGCGTATTGTATGCATGCCTTATGCCCTTGGAGGTCAGAAGATGATGTCAGATCTTCTGGAATTGGAATTAGAGACAGTTGTAAGTTACCATATGGTTCTTGGTACCAAACCTGAGTTCTCTCCAAGAGGCAAGAGTAGGTAGCCATTTAACTGTCTGAAACATCTCTCCAGCCTCACAAATTTTAAATTGAATTATAATAAAAGAAAATAACCTTAAACAAATATGTACACATTTTGCTTTTTTTTTTTAAAGGTGTCTGTAGGTCTGGTTTTTTGAAATGCACTTTGCTGACTTCAAGTTTACAGAGATGGATGGTCTTTGCCACCTGAGTCCTGCGATCAGAGGTGTGCGCCTCTACATCCAGTGCATTTTCAATGACTATGTTTTCCAGCTCTGTTTTTAAAAATAGAAGCTACAGAATACCATAAAGAGCTGCATGCCTTCATGTATGCCATATTACTATATTTTTTGCTTCCTCAGAATACACCTCTGCTTTTTCCTTAGAGGTTTAAAAGTAAATTTCAGTTATGACTTCGTATACGTGAATACTTAGATGTATCTGTCTTTTAAGATTAAATACCCTTTTATTATAACTTCAATGTTGTCATAATTTATCCTATTTAATATAGTCTTTATTAGTCTGCTTGAAGCTACTCTAATTGAAAGTCAGAGACTGGGTAATCTATTTATAAAGAAGTTTCTGTGACTGGGGTCTGGGAAGTCTCAGATCAAGAGACTGTGGTGAGAGCCTCCTTTCTCTCATTCTGTGTTAGAGCCAGGAGGACATGAGAGTGCACAAGCAGGAGGTCGCTTGTTCTAGGACAGACCCACTGTCGTCTGTAAGGACTGTCTGCTTTTGGGAATGCTTCTGGGAGGTGGTCAACTCCATATGATCTCATCTCTTAAGGGCCAGCACCAACTGTTGAGGACTCCTTTGAGCCTTAGCACAATCCACAGGCAAATGTCTCCAGTGATTGTATAAATGATTTTTATTTCTTTAAAAATTTCTGCCGTGAATATAATTAAGGATCTTACGCTGTATCTCATCACATCTCTTGTGTCCTATAATATCTTTAATATATAATAATTTCCTCGCATTCTTTTTTTAATGACTGATCTTTTTGAAGTCTCAGCTGATTATGTTATTTCATGTCCTATAATTAAGACTTGATACTTTCCCACATGAATGGATGCAGGTTAAATTTTTTTGGCCAAGCATAGAATATAGGTGTCCATGTGTGCTTTGCATTGAGTTTTATCTAGAGACATATGATGTTGGGTGATATTAATGTTGATCACACTAGCGTTAATCAGTTATTAAGCTATTTTCTAGGGCTGGAGAGATGACTCAGTGATTAAGAGCATTTGCCGTTCTTGCAGAGGATCCAGGTTCCGTTGTGCCCACATGGTGGCTTACAAACATTTATATCTTCACTTTCAGAGGATCTGACACTGTCTTCTGATGTCTAAAGGCATCTGTAAAATGCCCATATAAACAAAATGCATTTTAAAAAAGGTAGTTTTCTAAGAGATCACTTTGCTACAGAGATATATTTTAAAATTAATAAATAGTTTTCAATTATTATTACAAAGTAGTAAGTGGTCTGTGTTTATTCTGTGACTTGATCTGAAAACTTAAAGAATAATATTGTGTACTCAATGGAAGGATGTGGATGAAATGTGGGACGTAGAAGGGGAGATCCGTGAGAAATGGGAACGGACATGCAGAACTTCTCTGCCACAGTAAAACGGTGACAGTTGAAGGATGGATAAGATGATGTGGTTAGCTTGTAAGTTTAGATAGTTTCAGTTTTTATTTTCTTTTAAACTTATTTTTAGAAAGTGTGTGTGTGTATGTTGGTGTTGTGCGCTGTGTATATGTATGTCCAGTAGACACCAGAGGCTCACACTGGTTATCTTTTTCTATTGCTGTTCACTTTACTTTTTGAGACATGTTCTCTCACTGAATCTGGAGCTCGCTGATGGGGCAAGACTGTTTGGCCAGCAAGCCAAACATGGCATGGGCCGCTACACCTAGCTTCTTTTTTATTTTTTTTTATTTTTTTATTTTTTAATTTCTTTTTTTTTTTGAACATGAAATGCTTTTTTATAGCATGTTTTACAAGGGGAGGGGGTAAGAGGGTCCAGGTGGTGGAAAAGTACAAAATCTTCTTGGCCTGTCCCTTGAAACATGTCATGGTCTATATGGTACACTGCCTTGAATTATAGCTTCTTATGTGGATACTGTGTATTGACTCATGTTCTTACACTTGTATGGCAAAGCCTTTACAGAGTGAGCCATTGCCCTCCCACCTCACTTGTTGATTTTCACTTTAGGTAGTGTTTCACTGTTACTCAGGCTGGACTTGAATGGCAGCCCCTCATGTCTGTGTTTGCTTTCTGAGTGCTGGGCTTATAGTTGTGTATGGATCTCCTGCAGAAAGACAGATTATTAGTTACGTGTATGTTGCCATGATGGAATACCATGATCAAGAATACTTTATTTTGGGCTTAGGATTCTAGAGAGAGAACAGTCCATGATGGTAGGGTGGAGTTAGCAGGCTGCAGGCAGCTGGAGCAGCAACTGAGAGCTCACCTCTCAAACCACAGACAGAAGGTAGAGAGAGCCAACACCTTAGAAACCCCAGAGCTGTCTCCAGTGATGTACTTCTAGTGTGACCACATCTAATCCTTCCCAAACAGTTCTACCAACTGGAGTCACATATTCAATATGTGTCCGTGGAGGCCATTTTCAGTCAAACCACCACAGGTCGTTTTAACAGCAGTAAATTTAGGTTATCACATTTAAGTGAAGCATGATGAAAGGGTGGGCCCAGTGCAGGATTCTTTCAGAAAGATGAGAAAAGTCTGAGAAATGTTCGTGGAGTTGGCCTGGATAGACTTGTTTGCTAGTTAAGGGCACATTGTGAGAACTGAGTGGTGTTCAAGATACTGAATGTATGAAGATGTGAGGGACATGGCCGCTTGACTTCTGTCAGTTTCTCTTATTTGTTGTATCTGTTGCTTTTTCCAGGACTGTTTGAACAACATTAGCAATGTGATTCTGTTTTGGAAAAGAGTTTTGCCTTGGTCTAGTCTATTTAAAATGTATTTAGAGCTGCTGTTTTGTCTGTTTTGACAGTTTGATACAATTCAAGATTCTTTAATAGGTAGAATATGATTTGTTGTTGTTGCAAACAATTTTTAATATACTTCTGGTATGATTTTGGTTCTATAGTGTTTTTTTTTTCTCAGATCACCAGTTTTTGTTTTGTGGTATGCTTGTGTGTGTGCATGTGTGTTTGTGTGTGTTTTTTCTCAGACCACTAGGTTTGATACCTAAAAAATTTTATGTTTTCTCTGTCTGTCTGATTTTTCCAAGATGTTTTCGGTGCAGCTGAGTCTTGGCGAGCAGACATGGGAATCCGAAGGGAGCAGTATAAAGAAGGCCCAACAGGCTGTTGCAAATAAAGCTTTGACTGAATCTACACTTCCTAAACCAGTTCAGAAACCACCTAAAAGTAATGTCAATAATAATCCAGGTATGACATGTTTTTGTTTACTTTGTGTTGTGAGCTGATGTGTTATTCTTCTTTGTGTGTTGCATTTGTATAGTAAGAAAGCACAAAGTTAATAGTACACACACACACACACACACACACACACACACACACACTAATTAAGATAACAGCAAAGAAGAGAATTATATTTGTTTTTAAAGTTCACCTTAGTAGACACGGTGAAACTCTATTCCTTTGAATGTTGGCTAGAGTACATGTGTATGCAAATGTAGGAAATGTGTTTCTTCTAGAGTAAAGAAATCATTTCTTGCTTTTTAAAAAGCATAATAAGTGTAATAGATTTTAATAGTTATTCTTTTTTAGTGTAATGCAAAATTACAAAGCTATTAAATATTTTGCTTGTTGGTATAAAAATTGAAAACAGCTGATTATTTAGAACATTTATATGAAATTTATTAAGAACTCTACAAATCTGTAAAGCTGTCCATGTACAAGATGGCAGTACTAATTTTGAGATCCCAAGAGCAGGTTTTAAGGCTGCTTGATTGCATCACTACCAAGAACATCACATGTCCAGTTATCTTTCAGGAAGAGGCAAACCTGTGTTAGGCATAGTGCATTAATGTATGATGTCAAATTAGTGAAGTTTGTCTAAGTTCAGTTTCAGCCATGTGTTTGTGTACGCTCATTCATCTGTTAACAGCAATGCAAACTCTTACCTCATCTTCAGTGCTATTGTGGCTTAAGGCCTCTTTCACAATGAGGTAAGGACCACAACAGCTAATGGTGACTCTACTCTGTTTGATTAGGCCTGCACTTGTCAGGAGGATCAGGTCAGGGAAGCACTCTTCTTGACTGTCCTGTGCTTGGTAGGTAGTCTGTTCTTTCAAGGCTCTCTCCCAGACTTCAGGCTTTTTTGTAGTGACCCTTTGGCTCTGTTGAGCTTGTTACAGCATTCATTGAGGAAGCTGTGGAAGTCCGCTTGCTACTACAATAGCTAAGAAGCCTAACTTGTTCAGTTTGAAGTTGGTAAAGATGACTTACTTTGGTGATTTATAAAAACTTGTGATTGTGTAAAAGTACCAGCATGTATTAATCACTGTGGTTGCAAATGTAAGAGGTATATAGCCTCTTAATCTGTGAAGATGATACAGTATTGTACACAAATACATAATTTAATGGTAGACAGTAAGTGCTAAGTGAACAATAGCAGCTGTTAATCTTAAAAGTAATGATCAAATGAACTGAGGTGAGATGTAAGCCTTGAGTGGAGACTAGCCAGGTGTAGGGAAAAGGAAGGAGCACCTGAAGGAACCTGCAGTGACGAAGGGGGGTCCAGGAGGAAGAATCTGCTCAGTGAGTTTGGTGAAAAGTGTTTGTGTGATGATTTTTAGTTATCATAGGCAGTGTACGTGAGAGACTCAGACACCGGCTTCCTTCACAAGTTTGTTTTGTTTTTTTTTGTTTGTTTGTTTTTGTCATATAGGGCACTTAACATCTATCAAGTGGATGATGTAAAAGAACATTTTAGTGTATTGCATTTGATGTGAATTTGAGGTGGAAGATAAGAAAGCAAGGTGGTCAGCTAGGCAGTGCCATAGTTTTGAGTAAAAATAGTTAAAAAACCTCCTGTGTATTGAATACTGTGTGTGCCAGCCTCCAAGGGTGTCGGGAGTGGGCTTCAGTGTGGAGGAGAAGGAGCTCTCCAAGGCTTTTGATGTAAAACAGGATGACTTGTGGGCTCAGCTCTGCCCTATGGATTACTGCAAGGAGTACCTCAGGAAGACTTCAGGCAAGACAACAAAAGTCTCAAAGCCCAGTGGAGGTGCATTTCCACTGTGGGGGGTTAGAGTAAGCTGAAAATGGAAAAGAATATTTGGGACAAGCTTTTAAATCCATACAGGCAAGTGTACAAATTTCGGTTGCAGAGCTGGATAGAGATATCCTGAGAAACAGTACTGTAGGGTCTGCCATTGTCTGAGGAGTTTTCCTTCTCCTCCAGTTGGTTAGCTTAAGGAAACACTGTCCTGAGTCTGTCCTGAGTTATGATTGATTGTTGGAATCACACATTACTTTTTGCTGGTAGCTTCTTTTTACATTGGTGTTTGTGAGATTCCTCTGCATTGTGTTTAAAGTGATATTGTTTCATGACTATATAGCATTCAATTGCATGAACAGACAGTAATTTGATAGCTACTTGAATTATTTCCAGATTGGACTATTAGAAATAATACTGCTATGAACATTCTTGTATATACACCTTTCTGTTGGCAGTGAACCTAGGATCAGTATTGCTGGGTAAGAGGTTTCCACATACTCAGAATTAACACACACTGCCAAACTGCCACCAGTTTACCCTACCAGCAGTTAGGAGGGCTCTCTGTGCTCTTATTCATCATTTGACTTTTTTAGCTTTTCGTGATAGGGGTGTTAACAATTCATTGTGGTTTTCATGTGCATTTCCCTGCTGATAATGCAGCTGCCTGCTGAAGTCCTCTTGCTTGTTCATGGGGCATTTGTCCACTGGTGTCATAATAGTCTCTCAAAAAGAGACAGTTGGTAGATATGTTGTTTAAAAATTTTGTTTTATTTTTAATGGCTTGGGGATTTTGTACATATTCTGGAGTCACGTAGTTTGTGAGATATGTATATTGCAGAATATTTTTCTGAAATATTACAGATATCTTTCAAATTTTTTTTTTGTTATTTTTTGAGACTAAGACTCTGTGTAATTCTAGCTGTCTTGGAACTCTCTATGTGCTACAGGCTGACCTCAAGCTCACAGAGACCTGACTGTCTCTTTCTTTAGTGCTGGTACTAAAGGTGTGCTCTACCATGCCTGACTTCTTTTGAGATTCCTAATTTTGGCATTTTGAAAAATAGAAATTCTTTTATTTTAACAATGACAGATTTATTAGTATTTTATTGTTAGTGCTTTTAAATAAGTTATTTCCTAAATCTCATGTCTTTCAAGACTGTGAAGATAATATTATTTTTAGAAGGTTTTTTTTGTTTTGTTTTGTCTTGCTAATTGAAACCTAGTCTGTCAGGAGCCACTTTTATTTGTTTATTTGGGATGTTGGGAAGAGTTTGCTGTTTGTTGTACATTTTGTACAGTTGGCTGAAATCCCTTGCCAGTACACTGAAGAGGCAGCTCTGTGGTAACCAGACAAGTTTAGCTGTAGACGAGGAGCTTATTGAAAGAGAGGGATCTAGTTTCTAAGGTGGATGGGCCTCAGCCATAACTGGAGATTTGATAGGTTCTTTCCTGGTCAGCCTGTCAGTTAACTAGAACTGTGCTATAGAATAACTTTGCTTCTTTCTTTTTATTTACTTATTTTTAACTTTTGAAATAATTTAAGGTTTACATAAAAATTACAGAAGTAGATCCAGTATACCCTTCACCCAGATACACCATGGTTAGCAGTCCTGAGCCATCTGGGCTAAGCTGTGCTCCTTTTCCCTGTAGGACTTCAGGGTTCTCTCCCTCCCTTCCCCACTTCTGACAGTGTGTTACACCATAGCTATGGCTGGAAGGGAGTCAGCACAGTCCTCCTGCCTCAGTCTCCCAAGGATATCTACAAATATCCTGTTCCTCATCATTTTTTTTTTTTTGCCTACTGAATTTAGCATTTATTGTTAATTCTTGTCTGAATCTATTATAAACCTTAAGTTTGGTAGGGTGATTTATTTTGAATGCTACCATTCTTTTTAATTTATTAGTTGACTCTAAGGGAAGAAATTTTCTCTTCTCTCATTTCCTTCTTTTCTTTATGTCATTGTTGACTCTTCCTCTCTGGTTCTACTTACTGTCTTATAATCTGTTTTTTTCATTTGCTTTTTGTGTTTGGGTTTGAACCCAGGGCCTCATACATGCTAAACACATGTTCTTCCACCAAGCTACAGTGTGTGGTCTGCGTGGATTTTGTGCTCAGCTTGTTTTTGTTTTTAAGCAAATGGTCTTACTGTGTTTCCTGGCTGGCACAAAGCTAGGCTCAGGTGCTTTCCTCCTCATCTTCGCAGCCCCTGGAGTAGTTGAGCGTGTGGACGTGTGCCTACACACCTGCCTTGTTACTTAGTTTGATCCTAAAATTATCTTGGGCTTTGCTAGTGCTGTTATGGCCTCTTTAGTTGACTCTTAGCTCCTGGTAGTTTCTCATCTTTCTTTGGGTGCTCTAGCTTCCTGGTGTAAGAAGGAGTTCCTATTCCATCTTATACTTTCCTTGTCCTGGCTATGTTCCAGTCATTTCTGTAAGGAATCTTGGTTGGTTAATCAGTCAGTTTATCTTCCAGCAAGTAATTGGTGGGTGAATATTATATTCAGGACTTTCTAACTGTCTACAAAGCTGTTTTGGTGTTTAGTGGGAACTGTTTGCCCCCTGGTCACTATGATGAGTAAATACACTGATGTCTGCATGTCAAGCCTCCCACCATGTGGATGTCTGAAGGCTGTACTGACACTTGGAGACATGCTGATCTGAATGACTTGTGCTACCACCTGAGGCCATGGTAAAGTCCTGGCCTGGACTCGCTGCTGAAGGCCATGTCTGGGTCTGTGATTGTATCACAGTCAGGGTCTGTGTTGATGTCTGAGTCCCTTGTTACCACCAAAGGCCATCGGGATACCCCTGGGCTAGGCTGCCACCTAAGGGCAGGTTGATATTCGAGCACTGTGCTGGGCTGGCCCTGCTCCTTGCCTGCAGTGGGAGAGCTGGCCCTACCCTCAATGGCCATCATACTCAGGAAAGCTGGCTTGTCCCTTAACTGAGCAGCATGGGAGTTCTGGGCCAACTAAAGTGAGCTGTGGGAGGGCTGGCTCCACCCCATCACCACTTAAAGGACTTGGGAAAGCTGGCACAGTCCTTCACCAGCTGCAGCATTCAGGAGAGTTGGCCCCTTACCTTCCCTAGGCAGAGTAGTAGAGCACACCTTGGTGGTGGGGTTGTAGGAGAGCTGTCCTAAGGGCATGAGAGAAGGAGAGCTGGCTCCACAGCTTGACTGGTCAAAGTGGGAGAGCTAATCCTGGTAGTTTGGGCACAAGAGAGCTGATGGACTGACCAACTCAGCTTCCAGCCTGGTCTAGATCTAGGGCTATGACTTAACTACCCCAATATCTGCCCCATCTATGAGCTGCTGGCGCTTGTAAAGGTGCCTGTCCTGCAGATCCCAAACTGTGGGATCCCATGACACAGAACAACAACAGGATGTCCAAGAGGAGTCTTGGTAAGGATCCAGTATTGATAGCATAGCCTAAACCAGAGGCCTTGAGCCAGATCAAGGAGCTATTTTAATGAACATTTGCAAGGAAGCCTGTCTGGGCAGAAGGGCTCCCATGTGACACTCTGCAGCTTCCATAGGGAGATGGGTTTAATTTTATTTGTTCATTATTTTTATTTATTTTTTTAAATTGGATATTTTATTTATATTTCAGATGTGATCGCCTTTCCCCATTTCCCCTCCACCCAGGAACCCCCATCCCATCCCCCCTCCTCCTGCTTTTGTGAGGATGTGCTCCCACCCACCTGCCCATTCCCACCTCCCCACCCTCGAATTCCCCCCAACTGGGTTATCCAGCCTTCACTGGACCAAGGATCTCCTCTCCCACCTATGCCCGACAATGCCATCCTCCCCTACATATACAGCAGGAGCCATGAGTCCCTCCCTATGTGCTCCCAGGCTGGTGGTTTAGACCCTGGGAGCTCTGGTTGGTTGGTATTGTTGCTCTCCCCATGGGGCTGCAAACCCTTTCAGCTCCTTCAGTCTTTTCTCTAACTCCTCCATTGGGAACCCCATGATCAGCTCAGTGGTTAGCTGTGAGCATCCACCTCTGAATATGTCAGACTCTGGCAGACCTCTCAGGAGACAGCTATATCAGGCTCCTGTCAGCATGCACTTCCTTGCATTCATATCAGTGTCTGCCTGTGGTGACTGCACATGGGATGGATACCCAGGTGGAACAGTCTCCAGATGACCCCTCCTTCAATTTATGTCCCATGCTTTGTCTCCATATTTGCTCCCATGAGTATTTTATTTTTATTTATTTTCTTTAAAATGTTTTTCTTTTATGTGGGGGATTTCAAGGGCAGAGGGCAGATACATTGCGTCTTTTTGCTACAAAATTAAAAAATAAACAAACAAAAGAAAAACGGAAACCAAACCAAACCTAAACAACACAACAACAACAAAAATCCCTTTCCCTAATTAGAGGATATTAGATGGTCCTGCTGTCACGAGGTGAGCTCAGGCAGCTAGCCTTGGTTCTCAGTTACCTTCTTCCTGAGGCACACACTGTGTGTGGGAGATGAGACACCTAACCAGCTCACCCTGGAGACTTCACCTGCCCTTGAATTCACATCCTCCTGCCTCAGCCTCCTGGGATTATAGACATGAGCATCTGACTCGAGAATATTTTAAAACAAATTTGTTTTTACTTTGTCATAAAAAATACTTTTTAAGGTGAAGGCTCTTCACAGTATCAAGCAAAGAAAATAATTTTAATAATTTAAAAATTCACAGGGTGCAGTAGCATGTTTGCTAGAAATAGTTCACAATTTCCTTTTCTTTAGGTCATAAGTATTTTGCTGTCTTTAAAGTTGTTTAAAATAATTAGTTTGCTCAGTTAAGGCCACCAGTTTAGTTTACTTTTAGTGCAGTTGTGTTGTTTTCTTTAAAAATATGTATCTATTTTGGTTTAATTTTATTTGAATTAAATGTATCTTACTATTAAAGTTTATATTGCTGATAATGTGAATCTGGAAAACACAATCTTTGAGATTGTTTTGTTCTGTTTCTTTTTTAGAGTAAATCTCATTGATATTTTATAGTGACTAATTTTAAAATTAGTTAAAAATTTCCTTTTGGTTAAATCACCAACTCAGTTCACAATTAGATTCAATTTTCTTTGTATTTTAGTGGTTTCTTACCACTAAATTCTGATGGAAATTTTAGTGTAATTATGTAATAAAATCTCAGTTTTGGCTTTATGCTTTTAAAAAAAGCAAATAAATACTTACATTTCATTTTCTTAGATGAAAGGTAGGGCAAAATGCATGCTGGTTTTATTGTTAAAAAGTAAACAAGCTAATGAAGAGAGTGAAGGCAGGCTGCTCCAGTCTGTGCTTCGCTGTCCAGTGTTTTACACTGTCATGCTTGTGGGTCTAGTGGCACATTCAGGTTTTGTTTGTTTGTTTGTGTTTTTAGTATTTCTGGGGACTAGATGACATTTGAGGTTTTGAAAGTATCTCCTACAGATTATTCTCAGATAAGTCAAAGCATTACTGCAAACCATGTATTCATTGCTAATGTTTAGTCCCTTGATTAGCAATGAATAAATAAAATTATTAATTTAATGATTAAATGTGCATACATTTTCTGGGGTAAGTATTTATGAACGTGATATTCATACTAGTTACCTAGTTACCTAGTTGCATTTATTTGATTTTAAATAATATGACTATACAGTTGAATTTTTCATTTTAATGTACAGAAAATGCTAAAACTTAGTTTAAACCTTGTTTATATTAATTAGAGGACCGTGTTGAGGGGCCGTCCACTCCCCCTCCTTCTGAGGTCACTAATTGAAGTCTAGCTGGTATGGTTTGTTGTGAGAATATTTCACCTGTGTGCCTTTAATGTTTTTTTAAACAGGTAGTATAACTCCAACTGTGGAACTGAATGGGCTTGCTATGAAAAGGGGAGAGCCTGCCATCTACAGGCCATTAGATCCAAAGCCATTCCCAAATTATAGAGCTAATTACAACTTCCGGGGCATGTACAATCAGAGGTTTGTATGTCTTCTTTGGTTTTGTTCTTATTTACTCTTTTATGCATATTGTAGAAGTTTTTCACATTCTAAGTATATTTGCATTGTGAACACAATTGACCTTGGACATCTTGGGGGAATTTAGATAAACCAGACTCACCAAGTGTATTGGATGTTAAAAGCAGAAGAAAAACAACTCCGTAGCCTCAGAAACCTTCCTTACTAATGTATGCAAGCCTCACTGTTGTTGCAGATTACAGTACCACCAGCCATGTGACACTCTCATTCCCTCACCACGATAAACTTGGTATCTGCCTTTCCTGACTTGTTTGATTGCATTAATATCCTTTTAATTGGATTTGTCAATTTTCTTTTAATTTGTCTGTTTTAATTTATTTTTATCACATTTCCTGACTAGTTTTCAAATGTTTGTGTTAACATTATTAACATTCAATCTATTTTGTTTGTAATTTTTCTGGCTATAGTTTGGCTTTTAACTTTGTGTCTTGTAATAATTAGTTTTGATATTGATATTTTAAAACAATTTCTTTTCTTTCTTCCTCCTCTTCTTCCTCCTCCTTGTCCTCACCTTCCTTCTCCTCCTTCTTATTTTATTTTGTTTTATTTTGTTTTGAGACAGATTTTCTCTGCGTAGTCCTGGCTATCCTAGAACTTGATCTGTAACCAGGCTGGCCTTAAACTTACAGAGATCCACCTGCCTCTGTCTCCTGAGTGCTGAGATGAAAGGTATGGGCAACTACCACCTGGCCTGCAATTTCATTATTGTATATAAGAAATTAACTTTGCTATGTGACCATGTATTTGTAATGCTTTTAGTTAAGGTTTTATATACTTATTGCTAGTCTAGTTCAGATGTATAGAGAATATAATCGTTTAGTTTATATATAACTTAATGCTTTGTAATGCCTTGTTTGATAGTAGAAGTTAATTGTTTTCATTTAAAATAGTACTGTTCAGGGGGACTGGAGCCATTACAAGGTCCCCTTCAAATACTGGAGGTCAGGCCTCTATCCTAACCTTTGCAAGTTTAGAATTGCCACAGCCCTTTTATACTTAGAGAAGGGAGGAGATGTCAGGGGCAGCCCTGCTTACCCACTGAAGGCCTAAAATCAGCCATAGGCCTAAAATCAACAATAGACCTGTCATACATGTATACTAACACCAAGTCTTGGGTCTGTGTGGAAAAACATTGAAACAGATGGCTATAAGCTAATGTAAACAGGCAGCTTTTGTGGAAATTTACAAGCCTGAGTAGTCATAGACCTTGTAAATAGGTAGCCTTGGCAGACAATACTAACTTAGATAAGGACAAGCGAGCCATAGGCAGAGTCATAGTGACTTGTCCCCTGAACCTTCACCCAGCCAATACCCTGTTCTGAAAGATATCTGTATTCCCCCTGAACACCCATGCTCCAGTGTCATCCCCTTCCCCACATCCTGCCTTTTTGTGTTTATAACCCCTGTGTAAATAAGTAAAAATTATGATTTGAAAAAAATTATAAAAATAAATAAATAAATAAATAAATAAATAAATAAATAAATGAAATAAAATAGTACTGTTCAAATTCAGATTAGTTCCTTCAGGAGTTCTGTTAAGTAAATATCTCCTGTCCAGTCTCTCAGGCTTCCTCTGCCCTCCCCTCCTCCGTGTGTCTTACTTTATGCTAGGAAGGCCCTACTTCTGCGTGGAAGGTTATGTTCTTTGGTGGCTGCTCTATGTGGTCTTCTTACCTTCCTGGAGTTATCCCATATGGGATGATTTCTGACTTAGTCCCCACTTGGGCTATACTTTCAGAGAGTACTTCCCGTCCCCCCCCTTCTAGCTTGGCTAATACCCTCAGCTGTCTGGCTTGCCAGTCATTTTACAGCACTCCAGCCCTATCCCTTTCTCAGCATCTGTTTCTCACTGGGACATCCCATGCAGGCTTCCTGGCTCTCAGCTCAGAGTGTGCACTACAGCTGTACCCTACCCTTTTTCATGATGTGCGCTGATGCTCTTCCGTTAGTTTGTGGTTCCCTGGCATCCTTAGAGCTACTGCTTCAGTAGAAACGAACTAGGCGCACTCAGTCTATCTTATACATGTAATATGTGTCATTTTTAATTTCCCCACTTTTTTATTTATCTAATTTTGGGGAGAGGATTGACAGAGTTCTTCAATCTTATGTAGGCTGGCATTGTACTCTAGTGAGTAGTCCAGGCTGGCATCCCAATTACTAGCTTATATTTTTTCTCTTTTCAAAATAGCATATGCTATTTGTGCAAAATAACAGACTTTATTATGATGTTTTATAGCTGTATATAATTTAATCACTATCCTTTCTTATTTCCCCTTTCCCCTCCTTTTGACCCCATTTCTTTTCCCAAAGAGTACCCTGTCTATATTTCTTCCTTTCTGAAAAAATACAGATTCTGCATATGAGAGCAAACATGGTATATGTCTTTCTGAGTCTAGCTTATTTTGTGTAACATGATGATCTCCTGTCCCATTTTCCTGCAGAAGATTAAGATTTGTTCTTTTCGGATGAATGAAACTCCAATGTGGATACACACCACGTTTTCTCATCTAGTTGGTTCTGTATCTTGTTATAATGAATAATGGAGCGGTCAGCATGGGTGTGCAGGTGTCTCTGGCTTGTTGACTTAAAGTTCTTTGAGGATATACACAGGGATGGTGTCGACAGTTCTTGTTTTTGACTTTTGAGGAATGTCTATTCTTATTTCCATAGTGCCCAGAATAAGACACTTTATTTTTGTTGTGATATGATGAGTAGATTCATGACAACAGTTTTGTTTTAACACTATTTCTGTTGTATTTTGTTATCTTTGGTTGTTTACTAAAATTTTGACTAGTGAATTTATTATTTTCAAATAAAGCAATCTGGCACTAAAGCGATGAATAGTCAGATAGTAATCCTGGTGCTTATGTGTTCATGTTCTGGAGGAAGAACATTAACAGTGGGTAAGAAGGGTCTAGTTACTGAGGAGGTGCACTTGACAAAGAACCACGTGAATAGAAGCAGGGAGGAGAATGTCTGGCTTATGGTGGCCTTGACCAGTAGATTAGATCTGAACAGAGGCACCAGGGGAACAGAGATGGTGGGAGGGCCAAAGGTCAAGGGTCATGGGATCTAGTTTAGTTTACTGTTTTTTTTCTAGATTGATAAGAAATGTTAATATTTTCCTTTCATTTCTAATTCTGAAATCTGATTTGTGTATTCCATGGGGGAGCAGGTATTGTACCTCCATGTTCTCCAAATGGCTCCTCATATCAGGAGTCCTTTCCCTTTATACTTCTGCATTCTTTATGGTTTTCTGCTGATAACAAAGAGGGTAAAAGACTCTTAAGAGGTGAGACCCCAAGCTGCCAAGCCAGTGTCAGCTGGAAAGCCTCCTTCTCAGAAAGGCAGCATTGCTCAATAAGCTCTGAAATTTATGATTTCATATGTGACCTTAATTTGCTCATGACTACTTAAGCTAGAAGCTGCTCTGGAAATGTAGAACATATGCCTTCAGTCTTATGATTGAAGGCAGCTCATTTCTTGGCAGATTCCAGATTAACTGGTAGCTGCTTAAACCAGGAACTGAGAGGTTAAGTTCAAGAAATATAATTTAGGAATACTTTTGAAAATTTCTCTCATTTACTACTTAAGATACTACAAATAATAATTAGCTATTGTTTTCTTTGTTCTTTGCTGTTGGATTTTCTCTGCTTGAGCTCATCTAGAGGCCTAAGCAGAATGTCATTTTCCTCTGTTCTGTTTTATAAGTGGAGAGGTTTACTTCTGTACAACTTTGTGATACAGGTTGGATTCTGAAATACTTGTCTCCTGTTAATACCCAAGATGCTTGGTAGTATCTGCATCTTCTGTTGTTTTCTTCCTTGTCTGAGGCCCTAATTGATATTCCATAAATAGAAAGCAGTTAACATCCAGATGACAAACTGTGAGTAGGTGTGCCTAGCCTACATGCCATGTGTACATGTGTCTTGGGATAGTTATGAATATTTGTAGATAAAAATGTCATATTGTGGTGTCAAAAGACTGGACAGCTAAGGGAAGGTTGGAGAACAGCTTGTGTCTGTGTTAATTATCTTTCTATTATGGTGACAAAATAATCAGCTGGGCATGGGGCTTTTGTCCATTTGCCTAACATTTGTCCATTTGCTAGGCTGAGACAGAAGGATAACATAAATTTGAGGCTAGCCTGGGAACAAAGTAAGAAGACCTTGTTGTAAAAAAGGGAAAGGCACTCATTTGTCCTTTGACTTTTTAAGACTGAGTCTTCTGTAGGAGCTCATGGTGTAGCTGAGGTTAGCTTTAACTCCTCAGGTTACAGGTGTGTTCTGACACACGTGGCTTCAGGCTTCCAGTTTTGGATGTGTACAACTCTGGCGATTGGACCTTATTGCCTCTGCACCTGTGATGAGGCAGAACATCCTCCTGGGAGTCCATGATGGAAGTCCTCTCACCTTCAGATGGGACAATCTGATTTCAATCTCCATTTTTATTATCAAAGATGGCTTTTTAGATTTACTGTATTATTATCTGTGTATGAGTGTTTTGTCTGTAAGTATGTCTGCACACCATGTGTATGCCTGGTGTCCAAGGAGGTCAAGAGAGGACATTAGGTCCCCTGGGATTAGAGTTACAGATGGTTATGAGCTGCCATGTGGGAATTTGGAGTTGAACTCAGGTCCTCTACAAAAGCAACAAATGCTCATAACCACGGAGACATCTCTCCGGTTCCTCAGTGCCCCTTTCAAGAGCACACCTTCATATGACTCCATCACTTCCGTAGAGGCCCCACTTCCAAAAGGCATGCCTTCCACCAGCACAGCAGGCCAGGTTAAAGGCCATGCCTTTAACTCACTGGCTTTATCCACAGTGCATGCATTTCTCCGTGTCATCTGTAAAAGGTGTGTGTGTGTGTGTGTGTGTGTGTGTGTGTGTGTGTGTGTGTGTAACAGTTATGCCATCATGCATGTGTGAAGGTCAGAGGA